TATAGCGATACATACTTAGCTGTTACCAGCATTTAGCTTTCATCTTTTAATCTCATCCATGCTTATATTTTTTTTAGCTTTTATTGGGTATTCTTTGTTTGCAGATGATGTGCAATTGAGCTAAAAATATGTACAAGTTACTCGAATAACCATATAACAACGGAATTTTACAAGAAGTCTTTTTTTCCTGTAAAGGTTCACTGTACAACCATATTAGAGTTTGGATTTTTAACTGCATTTTGGATAATATCCTAACATACTAAGTAAACATAATTCTGAAACACATTTGAAATTCAAGCTTATCCATTCAGTATATTTTTAAGAAAAAAGGATGCGTCATTATAAAGGTATTCTGATGTTTGCTTTTTTAAGACTACTATTCTTAGCAAATTTAAAAAGAAATTGCCATTCCTTTTACTCTGTATTTACTGTATTTTATGTTAAAAATATGAAGGAAAGACTGCTTGGATTATTAAAGAAACTAGAGCCAAAAAAAAGAATTTAAGTTATATTTATGATTACTCAGGTGATGCACTTAAGAATTATTTTATTAAGAACATTTTATTAATCTTTTAGTATAACTTATGTTCACAGGAAAATTAGGATTGTGTGTAGGATCTTTTCTAGAGGAAAATGGGCACGCTTATATAGAAATGGAGCAGGCCCTGTGCAAGACTCAGCAGGAGCCATGTACTTGGCTGAAGTCACGTAGGCCCGACTCTGGAATGCATCCAAAGACACTGGAATGCATCCAAGGACACTGGAGGAAGATAAGCGATGAAGCAAGAACAAAAACAGAACGGACAATTGTGATAACCAGGAAACGTGGTATTGCTAGCCAGCCAATCATGTATTGGCTTAGGGCACGTGGACAGCGTGTGAAAAGCAAATACAACCAATTAGCTACACTTAAGGCGCGTGATAATAGGGCTTGAAGATATATATATTGGAGCGAGTGATCCAAGTGAAGGTCTTCAGTTATAACTCTTATAGAGTTGTTTGGAGTCCGTTATTACTCCTCTCGTCAATTGTGAATTTTGTAATGAAAGAACTTTTAAATTCAGGGTGATGCTTATAAAATAAAGCATTGTAGTCCAGGAGAGCAAACTACTTGTCTGTCTTAATTTTGATACAGAGGCCCTGTATCCTTGTATTATATTAACAGAAGACTCTCACTAGCTGCTCTTGTCTTAGGAGCTTTTGGAATTTTTCAAGGTTAGCAAAGACTAATTTTCTATTTATTCCCCCCCCCACCCCCAATTGGCTCTACAATACATATGTCTGTAACAGCATTGCACACTGGTTGTAGGGGATTGTATTATATGATCAGTACTCTATCACATGACAGTCTGATATATGCTTTTATAGTAATGTGAAAACATGCCTGAGTTCTTGGGAGGAAGGAAAGGATATGCTTTCAAAAACTGCGTGTGCGCTATTAGAGGTTTTCATATGCTTCCATCTTCAAGGCTAAAATTATTATGTGAAATGTATTCTCTTTTGGAGGAATATGAAGAGACTGTATTTAGCATGAAGAGAGCTCTGGAGAGACGTGAAGAGCTCACCTGGAGTTCATCTTTCATCTTACTGGAAATCATTATGTGATGAGAATATTTTCAAAAATCAAGTGAAGTGATGTTTCAGATCAGTGTTTCTATAGGTGTTATATTTTGCTCCCCCTAGTGGCAATGCAGTAATAGACAATCCTGTTCAGAAGGTCTAGCTCAGACTGGCAAAAATGAATGTCTTGATGGTGTTATTGAGAGTCTGTAAATAGAGCTGATGCAACCATTTGTAAAGATTTGTTCAGCTGTTCCTGAGGTGTGAATTAAAGTGTCATTTAAGCACCATCAGTTACTTAAATATGAGGATTCTAGATTGTCATGCAGAAGAGAACTGAGATAAAGTGGAAGGGAATCTCACATTAATAGGAAATGCAGAACAGGGGGAAAAAAAATCGTACTTTTTTTTTAATTGTATTTCTTTCTATATTGCCCATATTTTCGTCAGGCTGTGTTAAGTATAAAAAGCCTTATAATTGTAAAATATGATCTGTCATAACTATGGTTTAGAGTTGGTCTTGATAATCAAATTCATATTGTACCTTAGAATATATACTCATGTCTTATTCTAGAATGTTGTGGGTGGGCAAGGCATAAATGTTAAATATTTTCATTCATGAACAAACTGTCCAAAGTAAACTAGGAAATGATAGGAGCCTAAAGCATGTGACCTGCAGTGGGGCTCTGAGGGAGCTCAACAACTTTCAGCTGCTGAAGAGAAGGCTAAAGGCCAATCTTATGGCTGCCTAAATAAAACTTTTGTAGGCAAGTATGGTTACGAAGAGGTTCTAGGTACTGGTACTTTGAGGCTGCAGAATGTCTGTTTTGTGAATTTGATAACTTGGTTGTATAAAAGCATTGCTGATTTGAGCTACTCTTGGCAATAGTCTTTTGTGTGTGTGTGTGTGTGTATACACACCCCGCCCCGAAAAGACAAAATGCAGTTTATTAATGAATTTCTCAGCTCTGTGAATAGAAAGGGATTGGGGGAAGATGCAAAATGAACTGTAGTAAATATTTAAAATGTGTTCTTTGTGTAAGAATTCTCCTGTGTCAGTTGTAGAACTGTTTGCTTATCTAGTGCTTCTGGAAAAAATAAAATTCCTGATTTCTTTTCTTTTTTTTTTTTTCTACACTGTAATATCTTTTAACTACTGTTACCCAAGTGAACTTTCACATGTTTTCAGAAACTTAAGAAAAACCGTATCTTAGAGGGGAGTAACTTAGGATGGTGATGTAGCTTTAGCAGAGATAAGTTGGTTAGCATCAGCTGATTCAAGATCTTGGTTGGTGAGTTTCATTTAGGATATACCAAGCTCCTTAACTGCTCTCTGCTTTTTAACAGTATTATCATATCTAAAACAAGACCACATGGTGGGGGGTATAGTTTAAAAATCCCTATGGCTTTGTTTGGTTAATTCATTTAATAGAAACAGATGAGATTTTGTTGTATTTCCACAAAATTATTTAACTAAATTTACTGATTTGATGAAGTAAATGTTCAAACACTTTAAAAATTTTTTTAATGTATTAATGTCCTTATTTTTCTTAATATTTGCATGGGTGGATGGAATGAATAAAACTATACAGAGGGCAATACTCTCAGTTTTCCTTGAAAAAGGAAGTTTTTTGGAAAGGAGCTACAAAGACCTCATTTTCGTGAGCACAAATGGTCTTAGTAAAATATTACTACTGCAAATTGAATGAAAGTGCTATAAAATCCCAAGTTCAGTTAACCATTGTATAAATACGGAGGATGAAGGTCTATTTTATCTATAAAGAAGAAAAAAAGTAACACATTCAGAAATTCATTCAATATATTGAAGTTTTCTTAAAAGTTACGTGATAAAAAAATCTTCTCTTTTACCCAATTTATTACATTTATTTGAATCTCATGAAATTACTTAGTTTTAGAAAGGGAAAATAAATGTAAATTGATGGTCCAAGAATATTTCTTACTTTATTACAAGAAGAGGGGCTGCTGGCTCTTACATTAGCACAATCTGTTTCTAGCTGGAAAACCTCATCACATGGTTTTGCTGTAATACTACTGTACTAGACAACTGGTCTAAAATGTGTAGTCAGAATATTACTGTGTAATATTGTAGTGTGATCTGAGTAATGTTCACATACACATGTGTGTGCAGCATACTGTCCTGGTTTCATCTGGGATAGAGTTAATGTTTTCCTTAGTAGCTGGTGCAGGGCTGTGTTTTGGCTTTAGTCTGAGAATAATGTTGATAACGCACCACTGTTTTAGTTGTTGCTAAGTAATGCTTACTCTTTAGTCAAGGACTTTGCAGTTTCCCATGCTCTGCCAGTGAGGAGGGGCACAAGAAGCCGGGAGGGAACACAGCTGACCTGAACTAGCCAAAGGGGTATTCCATACCACAGGACATTAAACACAGTATATAAACTGGGGGGAGCTGCCTGAGAGGGAGCGATTGTGGTCGATTGCTGTTCTGGGACAGGCTAGGCATCTGTCAGCGAGTGGTGAGCAACTGTATTGCTTGTCTGTCTTGAGTTTTATTTCTCTCTCTCTTTTTCCTACTGTTATTGTTGTTGATACAATATTTTACTTTTTGTTTCAATTATTAAACTTTTAATCTCAACCCACAAGTTTTACCTTTCCCAGTTCTCTTCCCCATCCGGGGTGGTGGTGGTGGGGGGGGCAGCGGTGTAGAGGTGAGCGTGAGCAAGCAGCTGCATGGTTGTAGAAACTTGTGTTCACTTTTTCTGAGGACAAACAAACAAACTTTAACTGTGTTGGTAGGTGTTTCTTTGTTTTTGTAGATACAGTTTGCTGTAGATACTGGTTTTCTTTAAAACATGTGAAATGCTAGAGTCTTAGGAATGCTAATATGCTGATAATCTGTTACCTTCACAATTCTGTCTGAATTTTTTTAAGGGTCAAGATGGATAGCACAGATGAACGTCAGAAAAAAGTCTTTAAAGCACGAAAAACCATGAGAGTAAGTGATCGACAACAACTTGAAGCTGTCTATAAGGTTAAAGAGGAGCTGTTGAAGACAACTGAAGTTAAACTGTTAAATGGAAAGCATGAGAATGGAGATTCTGATTTGAATTCCCCTGTAAGCAATACAGACTCTATGGAGGACAAGAGGGAAGTTAATGGCCTGGTGGACTTATGTGTTAACTCTGAAGAAGGCAGAAGAGCTTCTGATGAAACTAGTGAAGCCAAAAGCCCTGAAAGTAGGGCAGGCAACATAGTCGGTGATATACAACCCAAACCTCTAACGCAGTCTCTGGAGAATGTTACTCCTGAACAAGGTAAAGATACTGATAATGCTTTAGCTTGTGAGGCTGAAAATGGAGTGCTTGGTAGCAATAAAGATGACTTCCACGAAAAAAGTAATACAAAAGATCATTTGGACCAAAGAGAGAGCAACATCCCATTGATAGGTGAAAGTAAATCGACCTGTGGTATTAGTGACTCTTTAGAAGAGAAGGTAGAAACTCATGACTTAAGCATTACTTCCAATTCATCTGCGGAGGAAAAGAGCACTGAAGAAGTAACTGTTGAAGATGCTGTTGGAGAAGAAGCCATCTCTAGCAGTATGGAAGCTGACCAGGAAGCAAAGGACATACAAGATGGCACTACAGGTCTTCCAGAAACGACTGTTCAGAAAACAACAGATGAGCCAAGTGAAAGTATCTTGGACAATACTGACTCTATGGAAACAGATGAAATTATTCCTATTTTGGAAAAACTAGCCCCTGCTGAAGATGAACTGGGCTGTTTTTCTAAAAGTCCTCTGCTTCCAGTGGATGACAGCATCCCAGATTTAGAAGAGAAAATAGACAGCTGTTTAGGTTCACCATCCAAGCAGGAAAGCAATGAAAGTCTGCCAAAAGAGGCTTTCTTAGTGTTGTCTGATGAAGAGGATCCCTGTGATGAGAAGGAGGAATGTCCTGAAGCGATACTACCAAACAAGTCAAGTCTTCCAGGTAAGAATTTTCTAAATGGGTAGTTTTGATTCAAGTCTGTGATTTTTGTTCATTTCTTAGAATGACACACTTCTGACACGTTTCTCGATCAAAAAGGCAGTCTTACCCACCAGTTCTGTGTGACACAGTCTCACAGGTTTCGAGGATGAAATTTGAGGACCAGGAAAAAAGTAAATGTAAAAAAAACCCAAAACACTGTCATCTTTGAGATCTGGTTTGTTTGTTTTGTTTGTTGGGTTTTTGGGTTTTTTCTCATATTCTGCAATCTGGGGTGAGGTGGTGGGTGGAACAAGAGGAAAGATGAGTAGTTGCCAGATACAGAACAGAAAGATTTGTGAGAAGAGAAACGTGTTCATTAACTGTTGTTGAGGGTAAGAAAAGATTTGAACTTTCTTTAATGTGCAAGGAAATAGTAACAGTGAAAACATTTTGGTAATCCAGGCACGCCACAAGTGCCACTTGTTTCAAATTTCTTTTTTTCCCCACCCAAAGACAGCGTTGGAAAGATTTCATTAATGGCACAGTCATGTATGAGTTTTGTGCCATATAGCGTTTATTCATTTAACTCACAATGAGTTTTATCTAGCTTTTATTTGATGACTATGCCAACTCATTAACATTTGAAATCATTAAGTTGTAGGAACATGGTACATCAGTTCTTTCATGTAGTTAGTAGAAGATTTTTATTCTTTTTTTAATGTTAGACTGAATCATGTCCTTTATAGTCTGTTGCCTCCTGTCCTATTGCTGTGTACCTTAAAAGAGTAGTGGCTCCATCTTCTCTTTGAATTCCCATTATGTGACGGAAGGCAGCAGTACAATCTCCAGTTAGTGTTCACTTGTTAAGGCTGAGCAAAGGCAGTTCTCTCATCTGCTCCTTATATAGCATGTACTTCACTCCCTTGACCTTTCTGGTGACCATTCACTGGATCTGCTGTGGGTTTGTCAGTGCCTTTCTAGTATTTGGGATCTAATAACTGGACATAGTGCTCTAGATGGAGGTTTCTCAAGTGCTGAACAACAGAATCACTTCTCTTGTCCTGCTGGACTCATTTCTTACACTCTGAAATGCTATTGAAGTTACTTCACATTGCTGAGTGATGTTCAGATTGTTTTCTACCAGGAATCAAGGCCTTTTCTCCAAAGTATTGTTCTAGCCAGTCAACCCACGGCCTGTGCTGTTGCACCGGATTATTCTATCTCAGATTAGGACTTGACATTTCTAATTGCTGCACTTTGTGTTAGCCCAATTTCCCAGTCTGCCACTGTGCCTCTGAACAGCAGCTATGCCCCACAAAGTATTTTCCACTCCCTCCAGTTTGTGTCTGCAAACTTGCCAAGTGTGACCTCCTGCCGACAGTTAATACAATAAATTGCATCAGTCCAGTATGGATCCCTGAGGACTGCCTCTAGTGCTAAACCACCAGTTGGTCTGTATACCACTGATGCCAATTCTTTCAGCCAGTCGTAAGAAGCTACTACGTCTGTCAGACATCATTTGTCCTTACTAAATCCACACTGGCACTCTTCTCAGTCACCTTCCTCTTCTTTGTGTGCCTGGCAATGGCTTCCTATAAGGAGTTTTTTCCAAACCTCCCCAAGATGTCAGTTGAGGCCAACAAGCCTGTAGTTTCCCTGAATGGGATGTCTTGAAAATGGCTGTGGTGTTTCCAGTCATTGGGAGCTTCCCTTGCTTGCTATGAAAGATGGAAGAGAGGGGCTTCACAATGCCAGCAGTGCCTACCTCCCTCAGCACTCTTGGGTACATCTAATTTGTGCCTGTGGACTTCTCTATATCCGCTCGGTTTAAGCATGCCCTGGCTCTATCTCCTTGATGGTGGATAGCACTTCACTTCTGCAAGCTCTGCCAGTCTTTCCCTGTGCTCTCAGGAACCGAGGGAAACTTGCCAGTGAAAAATGGAGTCAGAAAAGTTGAGTATCACAGCATTTTCCATGTCCTCACTTATAGGTTGCCTGTCCCAATGAGCAGTGCCCCACAATTTTCCTTACTTTTTTCTTTTGCTGCCATTGTAGTTACAGAAGCCCTACTTGCCCTTCACATTCCTCACTGGTTTCAATTCCAATTAAGCTTTGGCTTTTCTTATTCCATTACTGCACAACTGGACAGTGTCCCTGTAGTCCTCTTAGATCCTCCTCCTGTGTAATTCTTTCTTATATTGGAACTGTCGGGAGGTCCCTGCTCACCCATGCTGGCTTTCTTCCGTGCTGCCTCTACATTCTGCACAGTGAAATGATCAGTCTTCTTGCCTTGAGGAAGCTGTCCTTAAAGAACAACCAGCTCTTCTGGGTCCTTTTGCTTTCCAGGGCAGCTCCCTTTGAGATACTACCAGGTAGGTCCTGAATAAGGTGGAATCTGCTGCCGGGAGAGGGAGGACTGTTAAGATATTTGTCCTGCTGACTTCTTGCAGGACTTTTAATTCCACAGCCTCATGGTTGCTGCAGGTTAACCTTGGTGAACTCTTGACCTTCATGTCCCAGATGAATTCTTCCTTGTTTGTGAATAATAAATCCAGAACATCTTCCCTTAGTTGACACATCAATTGCCTGTGTCAAGAAATTAGCTTCAGTACACTCCAGAAACCACCTGGATTGTGCCAAATCACACAGCGCTTCCAGTTAAAGTACACCCATGAGTCAGTCCTGAGGCTTGCAGCACTGTGAGATGACTCTGTTGACTTCCTCTCCTTGATCAAGTTGAGCGACTTGCACGACATTGCCCGTGTTGCTTTGCCTCCTTCTCCTTGCCAGCACTCAGCTGCCTCATCACCTGTCCCCTGGCAAAGCTCTGGGCACTCCTCTGCATAGAGCACAAATGCTCCTCATCCTTTCCAGCCTGTCTCTTGTGAAGAGACTATGTTCATTGTCTGGAACACTGTAGTCATTTCAGTTATCCCACCATGTCTCTAATCCATATGAAATCCTAATTTTGCAGTTGGGGGGGGACTAGTAATTCCTCTTGTTTCATGTGCTGCATTCGTTTACCGGTACTTGAGATGATGAGCGCTGAGCCATGATGCTTTCACAAAGGACAAGCAAGCACCTTTCCTGTCATGCTGTTCTCCAGATGTTTCCTTGCTGCCTCCCATACCTCAGCTTCAGGTTATGACAACCATTCCCTACCATGCCTTGTTTCAGGTCTTCCTCATTAGGTTAGCATGCTTGCTTACAGAAGCCTTTTTCAACTTCGTCAGATGGATTCAGCCCTGCTCAGAGATTATGTTACCACACTGAAAGATATGAAAACCTTGCCTGCAACTTCTGTCATGCAGACACGTGTTCATCAGCTGGATGCCTGTACTCTTAATTAGAGTTTTTGGTTTGGGTTTTGTTTTTTTTTTTTCTTCTTGTCCCAGTCCAGTGGAAGGATTGGTGCTAAAGCCACCTCAGGCCCTTCACGCTCTTCTGCAGAGATCATTATCACTCCTGGTATGCTTGGAATTGTTTCTGGTACTATCATTGGTGCCCATGTGCGTATGCAGCAAGAGGTAAAGGGCTGAGGACCAGATGAGCCTTGGTAGCTTCTTCGCAACATTGGGGATCCAGGCTCTCAGCAAGCAGCTAAGGTCTTGAAGTATCAGTCTGAGTGGCTAGGTGGGTACCCCCTGGTGGCTGTTACCAGTCTCTCCTTTATGCAGGTGGTTGGTTCAGACTCAGCTGGCTCCGATGCCCCTGTTAATAGAGGATTTTCCTCTTGATGTGTTCTGTCAGTTCTGTACCTGTTCAGTAACTGCACATTTGTGGGTAGAGAGGGAGTCTTCCTGCTGTTGCTGGAAGTCACAGGCTTCTTAGGGCCTCCATTTTGAAAAAATTCCATTTGTTGCTATTTTGAACATAGCCTCTAGATAGCCCTATTTCCTTGCACTGTGGGGCTTGGGGTTTTGTCCAAGCAGGGTCGTAGTTTATCCCCTCTTCATCCATTCTACACAGTCAGCTCATCTCCTCCTACAGCTTCTTCACTTTCTGATTCATACCAGATCAAAGAGAGAACTCCTAGGCAAGGATGGGACATGATTTTAGAGTAGGGTCTTTCAGCCTGAAAGAAGAGATGGAGGAGAGATGTGGCAAAGATCTGCTGTCTTTTCCTCTACAAGAACCTCACATTCCAAATGGAGGAAAGGGGAAAAAGAGTCAGGATGAAAGCATGCAAGAGATGGTTCTCCATGTGGAGAACTATGGAGCTCCTTACTAGCAACAGTGACTGCTAGAAGTTCACCTACATTTGTGTTCTGTGGAAGAGGAATTTTTTGAGGGCTATCAAGCACAGAAACCCTATGGCGCTGGAGGTCTTCCACCAGCAATTTTTCAGGAAGTGGAAGAAGCTTTCTGGGACTGTGTAAATACATCCTTTCTCCTTGTATTCTTCCCTACTTGATCATCTGCAGTTGCCATGAAAGTGTTGGAGATAGAATCCTGAATTAATTGAGCAGTTGGTTTTACCTGGTGTAACTGTTGCTGTGTTCTGTCTCTTAGTCTGTATGCTCTCCAGTTTGACCGGGTGTGTCTGCCAAAGTAAATCTGAAGTATCTTTCTCAGAATTGCTAGCACTTTGAGTGCATTCTAGACACCTTGATGCTAGGCTTCTCCACACCAATGGCTTTTCATGCTCCCCAGGGATAGTTTGATAGAGAACTTACTTGTTACTAATCCTTATTAACAGAGTCTGAAGTCAAGCAACACACCCAACTACAGCCTTCTAAGAATAAAGAATGCTGTTAACATTAAAAAAACTACAGCTTGTCTTCTAGAAAGTAGTGTTTGAAGAGATCTGCAGAGCATGTGAATGGCAGATAAACAACTAAACATGAATGTTTGCTGCTGTGTTGGGACAGAATTAGCTGTCCAAGTTCTTGAATTCACAAACAGGAAAATGTTAGGCTTAAATGGCACCAATGAAACCATGTTTCTGCAGTAATATTTTTATTTCTGTTTTTTGCATCAAAAAGGGAAAACTCTGAAGGCTTCCAGAGAGTTTGCTGCAAAAAATATTTCAGCATTTGGGAAACAACCTTTATACTGGAAAGCCAAGAAGAATTTAAGTTTTGTTCATCCAATAGGAGATTAGAGCAGTCTCTAGTATCTGCAAACGGGAGCTGAATATATGGTGGAGAGATGTTTCTTTAAATAGCGAAGAGACAAGTGCTGCATTTTTGATCCACTGGATTTTGCAAACTAGAAATCAGGCACACATGTTCTAGTCAAGCTATAAGGAGAAGGTTGCAATTACAGGATTATGGAATAGTGAGAGCATGACTGTGCAGTTCAGAGTAACTTACAAATACTGTTCAGAAGCTCTTAGGCTTATTCATTATTTTTATTTCCATTTACGTGTATATTTTGGCAGAACTGACATCTGAATATGTATCCAGTCAGTCACTAAGCAGATATCAATGCTTGCAGCTATAGAAATCAGTAAAAGGTATTTTCAACTGTTCAGTGACAGGCAAACATCAAGTAAAAAACTCAGATCCACAGCAAATAGTGTGACTTAAGATAGCTGAATTATAAATACAGTGGTAACTTAATTATATAATCAAATTTTTCCTTTTTTTTTCTTTTTTTCTTTTTGTTTTAGGATTGCATTCACTGTGTCTTCCTGTCTAGCATCAGGATAATGACATCATAGAATCATAGAATGGTTTGGAAAGGACCTTAAGTTTCAACCCCAATGCCATGGCCAGGGACACCTCACACTAGATCATGTCACCCAAGGCTCTGTCCAGCCTGGCCTTGAGCACTGCCAGGGATGGAGCATTTACCACTTCTTTGGCAACCTGTTCCAGTGTCTCACCACCCTCACAGTAAAGAACTTCTTTATATCTAACCTAAACTTCCCCTGTTTCAGTTTGAACCCAATATCCCTTGTCCTATCGCTTACAGTCCTGATGAAGAGTCCCTCCCCAGCATCCTCGTAGGCCCCCTACAGATATTGGAAGGCTGCTATGAGGTCTCCACGCAGCCTTCTCTTCTCCAGGCTGAACAGCCCCAACTTTCTCAGCCTGTCTTCATACAGGAGGTGCTCCAACCCCCTTCTCGTCCTTGTGGCCTCCTCTGGACTTGTTCCAACAGCTCCATGTCCTTTTTATGTTGAGGACACCAGAACTGTACACACTAGTCCAAGTGGGGTTTCATGAGAGCAGAGGCCAGGTTGAAGAGAGCGTTGGGTGACACGGTCTAGTGTGAGGTATCCCTGCCCATGGCAGGGGGGTTGGAACTAGATGATCTTAAGGTCCTTTCTAACCCTAACTGTTGTATGATTATTACTTGCATAAATGAACAAAATGAAAAATCTCATCATTTCAGTTTAGGGTTTCTGACTCCTTCATTTTTCTGATTTCTTAGGTGACTTGTTGAAATATAAAAAAAAAAATAAAATGTTCTTGATCATAGAAATAGAATACAGTGTTAAGAGAGCATCAAGCATATCTTTGTGAATAACAAGATGAAAAGAGGAAATTGGAGAAGTGTACAAATCAAGATGTGCATAACAGTGCTGACTTGTCCTGTTAAATTCTGGATGGATTTTAATGTCATCTTAAGAGCGTTAGTTTTATTTGTATCTGCCAAGCACAGGAGGTAACAAATACCACATGTATGAAACACGTAATGGAAATTCATGGAACATACAGGGAAAGTTTTCATGAAGTGTTAGTGTTTTTCATTTTAACCTGTGCGGAGTTGGGGGTGTTAACTTCTGATATTTCTTTCTTTAAGAATTTCCTAAACTGTATGTTTTTAAATGACAAGTCTTAAATTGTGACACTTTGTATTAGGAAAGACACTTTAAATAAAAATTCAGATTTGTTAAGAAACTAAGAACCTCAGCTTGTTCTACCATAAGGTTAACTGGTGAAATGGCCAATTGTAAATAGAGCATGTTGGTGTGTTGTTACTGAATTTTTTTATACTTTTTTTCCTAGGTGAAAAATAAACTGAAATAGTTTGAGTACTTTATCTGCGTTAAAATTAATGGTATCATTGTTTGATAGTTCAGATTTTTCCTCTGAAGGTATTCCCTGGTTTTTTTCATCTCTGCGTTCTCTGTATGTCATACGTTCACTAGCCAAAATAGGACTCTGAGACTTTTGTAAGTCAGCGTAAGTAACACGTGGGTTTTTTTCTTGTGTTTGTAGAAGAGGTGGAAAAGGAGATAAGAAAGGAAAGTAAGGAGGATAAAGAAGAAGATGCCTACAAAGAAGAAGAGAAACAGACAGAGAGAAGTACGTAATGTTAAAAAGCTGTTATTCTTCGCTGGTGGCACATGTTAGAAGCACAGAATCATTGAGGTTGGAAGGGACCTTTGGAGATTACCTAGTCCAAACCCTTTGCTCAAAACCAGGTCAAATAGAGCAGTTTGCTCAGAACCATGTCCAGACAGGTTTTGAGTGTCTCCCCAAATGTTAACTCCACAACTTTCTAGCGTTCCACTTCCAGTGTTTGACCACTCTCACAGTAAAAATGTTTTCATATGTTTGAATGGGATTTCCTGTATTTCAGTTTGCATCCATTTCTCTCATCCTTTCACAGGTACTCACTAAAAGTCTTGCTTTGTCTTTTTTCACTCTCCACCCATTGGTAATGTACACACATTATAAAATCTCCCCTAACCGCCTTCTCCAGTTGAACAATGCTGGCTATCATTTCCTTATGTGCATGTCCATATGCCTTGGTGGCCCTACACAAAACTCCAGTATCCTCACATCTTTCTTGTATTTAGAAGCCCAGAACTGCACACAGGACTCAAGATTTAGTCTCACAGCACTGCTTAGAGGGGAATAATTACCTCCCTTCGCCTGGTGACGATGCTTTTCCTTACTCAGCCAAGGATCTTACTGGGTTTTTTTGCCAGCAGAGCACATTGCTGGCTCATGTTCAACTTGATATGCACAGAGACCACAAGGGCCTTTTCTGTAAAGCAGTTTTCTAGGTAGTCAGTTCCCAGACTGTACTAGTACATGAGTTATTCCTACCCAGCTGTAGGACTTTGCATTTCCTTTTGTTGAACTTAATGAGGTTCCTGTTTGCCTAGTCCTCCAGCTTGTCAAGGTGACGCTGAATGGCAGCATAACTATCTAGCATAGCAGCCACTCCTTCCAGTTTTGTATCGTCTGCAAATTGCTGAGGATGCCTTCTATCCCATTATCTAGGCTGTTTATGAAGATGTTGGTATTGGTACCAGTATATTGCTAGCAATGAGCTCCAACTGGACTTCGTGCCACTAATCACAGCTGCAGTTGAGCCAGTCCATTTATCTAGGCCATGCAGTGTGAGTTTGTCTCTGAGGATGTTTTGAGTGCCAGAAGCATTACTAAAGACAAGAGAAACAGCATCCACTGCTGTCCCCTTATCCACCAAGCCAGCTGTCTTATCATAAAAGGCTATCAGGCTGATGAAGCATGATTTCCCCTTGATAAATCTGTTCTGGCTATTCCCCATCACCATTACCTTAATGTGTTTAGAGATGGTTTCTAGAACTACTTGCTCCATCATGTTCCCAGGGATTGAGGTAAGGCTGACCATCTTGTAGTTCTTTGGGTCCTCCTTGCACTTATAGAATCATAGAATAGTTAGGGTTGGAAAGGACCTGAAGATCATCCAGTTCCAACCCCCCTGCCATGAGCCGGGACACCACACACTAAACCATGTCACCCAAGGCTCTGTCCAGCCTGGCCTTGAACACCACCAGGGTTGGAGCATTCACAACTTCCTTGGGCAGCCTATTCCAGTGCCTCACCACCGTCACTGTGAAGAACTTCTTCCTTATATCTAATCTAAACTTCCCCTGTTTAAGTTTGAACCCATTACACCTTGTCCTATTACTACAGTCCCTAACGAAGCATCCTTGTAGGCCCCTTTCAGATATTGGAAGAATAATACTGAGTAAGGACTCTGCCTCAGATTGGATGAGTATCATGCTTTTCCTCTTTTATAGGCATTTCCTTATCAAAGTTGTTTTCTTGGTGTTTTTTGTACTGTATAGGGACAACACACCCTCTCCCACCAAATATCTTTCTGTACTACATCAGAACTGGAGGTAAACCCCCACTTTCTGATGGACAGTATTAGGATATTCTCTATAAAATGCTAGTAATAGAGAGAAATAGATTCTGCTTAGCATGTTTTAGCAAAATCCTCACATGACAGTGACAGAAAACTGCTTTGTTTGCAGTTTTTCTCATTCAGACTTCAGTGAATTTTCTCACTTTCCATCACGGAGTAGCTGAAGACAGGGACAATTCTTTTTGTATCCTTTTTGCTGGGGCTGCATATTTTTTGCTTTACATCAAGATCCAAACTTAGTCCTTCCTAAGTAAATGTCACTTTTGTCCTCAGGAACCTTCTGCAATTGTCACAACCTTTCAGAGGTTGAGAATGGCTTTGCAGTCACCTCAGGCAGCTCTCTTGGGACTTGTGAGTTCATCCCTCTGGCTTGGGTGGACTTCTGTACATGCAGTTTGTTGTCTGCCTTTGCTCCAGCCAGTCCCACTGGTCTCAGAGAGCTGGCAATGCTAAAGGCAAACATTACTAAGTCTGAGGCAAAGAAGTCATTGAGCATCTGGGCTTTATCTGTGTCCTTTGTCACTTGCTCCCCTGCCTCATCCAGCAGGGGGGACATATTTTCCCTGGTTTTTCTTTTGCTGATGGTGTACTGGTAGAAACCCTCTTGTTGCCCTTCATGTCCCTTACCAGATTCAGTTTAAAGTGAGCTTTGGCTTTCCTAATGCCATTCCCACCCACACAGTGCCTTTGTTTCTCTAACAGGCTGCCTGGCCCTCACAGACGGGGGTCTCCAAGCCCTGCAGGCAGGGAGTCACGCGCTGCTAACATGCGGTCCCACTGCACGGCTCAGGCTTAGCCAGTTCAGTCATTTCACTGGGCACAGCTCTCAGTTCCGTATCTGCTACAAGGGCACTGAACCAAATCCATCGTTGTCCTTTGCATCCACAGGCTTTGTCATTATGGGAATCTCCATTTCCCATGTAGGTAAGCTCAGACTCTTGACTACTTTCTTTGGTACAACTAGGAGATGCAGTTCTTAAGGCTGCAAGATCTTGGAGTATATCCAGTCAATCTCATGATTTCTGGTGCTGTGCCATCCCCTGACTGCCTCCCATAGCTCCTTTAACTTGGCAATGCAGGTTTCTCATTACTTTGCAACTTCTGTGGCCAAGAAGCTCTTCTTCGTCTGCCATAACTTCAGCCAGACTGGGAGGCTCTAGGTAATCCTTGCAGCCCAAGACTTGCAAAACCTAATCTTCCCCCAAAACAGCTCAGTCTAGGTAGAGGCTCTGACATTACTGTGAGAGTTGTTCTGGTGGCTGCTGGAGACCACACTGTGTGGCACATGACCACCATTAGCGAATGCAGGGACCATCCTCCTTCTCTACACCCTGCTGTACAAAGTCTTACGTTAGCTGCTCACTGGGAGCTGCACTTGAGGCTCAGCAATAATATAGGTGTGTGTCTCAAACCTGCTGAAAGGGTGTTTGAGTCTCCGTAAGGAATCATGTGGGACACAAGAACAAAGCACACTTTGACCTAGAAAAGCTGATGCAGCACATTAGAATTTGTTGGGATTTCCTGGAAGTCACAGCCTCCTTTAGATATCCTTTCGTCTAGTAGCAAACACCCTGAAGCTCTCCAAAGAGAATCTTAACTGCAGTAAGATCAGATAGAGCATCTGCTTCAGAACAAGTTACCTGAATATTAAACATGTTCTCTTAAGTATTTAAGTAGCTCTTGCATGTTACAAATTACTTGTACCATTCAGAGTTTAGACTTTTTCTGGAGAGACTGACTGGGAGTAGGAAAGAGGGGTATGGAAAAGCCTAATAAACTTGTCTTCAGTAGTCTTAAGAATAGTGTTCTAACTATTCAGTTTTTCTTTTTAATTCTATTTCTACTAGTTTTTCTGATGGATGGAAGAAAGATGTAGATGTAGCTTTTTTTTTTTTCCCAGAATGACATGAAACAGTGGAAAATGAAGGGAGAAAATAATAATAAAAAAAAATTAAAACCTCATGCCTTAGACATTTATAGTGCTTGCAAACACTCAGCATTCTGCAAATGTTTATGAAGAGCCCTGTGGCACTACAAAATGTACCTAAACTTTGAGGACCTATGCTTTCACAAACTTTTTAAAATAACATAGGTTGACATGCAGATTTTTTAATCATTTTCAGTGCATTAATGGATTTATAGTGCAACTAAAAAAAATACCAAAAAATCAGATCAGACTGAAACAAACAAAATTTAACCATCAAAAAATCTAGACTAAAAAAATTCATAAAGTTAGAAATATGACTCTTAGAGTATATGTAATACAAGTGAAGAAAAAAAAATGGTAGTGGAAAGTAACTGTTTCTTATGCTCTTTCAGTTTCCAGTGAATCTTCATTGAGGGACTATTAATTCTGTCTTTATCATCCTCAGGTTTGGGGTGGTGGGGTTGCAGGCTATGGTCTTTAGGTACCTTTGGTAAGCTCTATAACTTCATTTCCTGATAATTTCCATAGGCTTAATACAGTGTCAGGAGGTGGAGGAGTGAATGAGATCTCTTGTGTTTCATTGCTGTTATGAAAATTACTTTTATAATATACCTCTGATTTGAGCCTGTTCTTTTTCTTTTAAAAGTTAGAGTTTTACTTTCCTTCTTACCCAAGAAGTAAGAAAAAGGGTTGAATGTTATTTTCAGTCAGGGATTGGAGATACAGGTTAAACCTTTATGGCAGGTGGGGAAAAAAGTTTATTGCTGACGCAGGCAGGATGAAATGTAGTTTTATTTGGCTGGAATCCTGAGGAAAGTATTCCTTTTGCAGAAGAGGGTTTTGTTCTGCTTCTCGGAAGCCATGATTCATTATAGAATGGTCCTGACAGGAGCAGGAAGAACTTGGAGGCAAGTTCTGAAGAAAGGAATGGTGGTATTAGAGCTATTTTGCATTCGGGGCAGTAGTTTGGTGGTGACAAAGTGGAACGCACTAACAGGGAGGCACCGTACAAAGACCAAAGGGACAGCTGTAATGCTTTGATGCCGTCAAACATCTTGGTTTTCTAAAAGTGTTCTTACAGGTTTTGGATGAAAAATCTTGAACTGGGGACAAATAAGCTTCTTAATAATCACAGCATTCTGCAGATACCTGTTTTTTTTTAGAGGTTCCTCGTAAGTAGTTGTATCTAATTGTTCCAGGTGAAGTGTCAAGGAGAAAGCGTTCCAAATCTGAGGACATGGATAGCATTCACTCTAAACGTCGTCGATATATGAAAGAAGATTATGAAGCAGAACTCGAAGTAAAAATTACAGCCAGACAGGATGTCGACCAAAAATTACAAAAGGTAGAATGAAGGTGCAGAGATGGCAAACGTATCTGCTCCCTCCCGGCCCCCAACACTTTCTTGTGGTTGAAAATTTGACATAATTCAAGTAACAAAGATGTTTTAATACATACGAAGTTCTACATAGCCTTACTTTAGGAGACTAAATATGATTTGAAAGCTATACTGCAAGAATTACATTTGAAATGTGTGAAATATTTAAACTCTTAAACCTCATCTTAGAAAAAGAGAGATTTCAGTGTGCTGCACTTTATTGTGTGCCTGGCTTTAAAAATAGTCTGTTTCCAAACAAGAGTGCAGTCAACATTGTGTCTTGCAGATTTTTATAGAGCTGTTAATTGCCTGTTTGCACCATTAGCACGTAAGGAAACCTATGGTCTTGAAGGAAAAACTTTGTGTCTTCCATTAGTTAGCTAATGCATGTTGTAACTTCATCAACCTAAGATGCAGAAAACTGAACCATGTTTGTTTTGTTTCTGAAGGAATTTTTTTGCACTGCAGTAGGTATGGGAGGGAGAAAAACAAGAAGTGTATCAAGTAAACTTTATGGAAATCAGTCTCTCTTTCAGTTCTTAGCTTTTCATAGAAAACCAACACTGCGTTTCTTCTAGGGAAAATGCATCACAGAAATGAGGTTTTGTTGAATGGCTTTAGTTTCTGTTCTTTTTAGTGCCAGCATCCCTCTCAAGAACAGAAGAGTAATAGGAAAAATTAAGTTGTATAAACACAGCAGTTGATGAAAGTATCTTTTGTTGATAAGGTTATTTTTGTATGTATAAGGTTTTATACACATCATACTGCAATTAAATTAATTTCTTGAATTGGTGGCAAAGAAGGACCAGTTGTATTTGCCAAAATGTATGTAGAAATGTTTCTTAGCTGTAGAAGCATATGCTTATGAGTGACTACTGACTTCTTTGATTTGCAGGGCACAACTGTTGTCATTGTTCTGTTTGTAGCAGGGTACTTGTTAAGAATTCAAAATATTTTTATAGATGGTCTCCCAAATTCTGGGATTGCATTGTTACTTTTCTTTTTTCTTCATGTAATAATTTTGCAGGTTATCCAGAGACTGTTAGATGAAAAATTTACTGCTTTACAGTGTGCTGTGTTTGACAAGGCTCTGGCAGACTTGAAAACCCGAATAGAGAAAGTGGAATGTAACAAGAGGCATAAAACCGTGCTTACTGAACTGCAGGTAAGTGTGTGTGTCTTCAACTGTATACTGTAGACAAATTTAAAACTAAGTTCCTCAGCATTTTGTAGTAAGTCTCCTGTAGCTGTCAATAGGGAAGTCATTTTGACTTCTCAGAGAGAAAGGTGGGGGGGGGAAGCAGCAAATACTAATGTTGCTTTTGAGTTGTAAAATTCTATTTCCCTTCTCAGAAAGAAGAAAACAAACAAAAAAAAAAAAAATCCAAAGGAAATATTCTTTCTGGCAAACTGATTCATTATCTGTTATTAAACTGCTTTTCCACTCTTCTATTCCATTTAGACATTCTTCAAATAAGTGTTAAGTATGAAAATACCTTATCTATAAAACCAGAAATTTGCTTAAAAATGGAAAAGTTGCAGAAAGGAGAGAACAGTAGCATTGGATTTTGTACAGTGTTCAGAGAAACATCGCATGCTACATGTCCATGTTATTTCCCCAGAAACTAAATAATTACATTCTAGCAAGGAGACAAATATCTAGTGTTGAATGCAGCGTACTTTCTAAAATTCTTCATAGAAATTATGTAGATAGTGGTGATGTGAGGAACATCACAAAAATAAAAGAATTTTGAAGTGACAAGACAATTAAAAGCTTATATCATAACAAATTAAAACAATAAGGCCATTTTACGTTGAAAATAAACAAAGTACGGAGTTTGCCAGACCGGTTCATCCTACGTAACTCTTCCCACTTGCCAACCCCAGACATTTTTTAGGTGATACTTAAGATGCTTTCAGTATAGTTGTGTATCAGTGTCTTTAGCCATTAACTGCAGTACCAAATTAATAACATTGCATAAGGCTGTGGATGTGTTGATGTTACTGTACTCGCAGTCTAAGCTTACATGGTTTTATTATGCAAGGTGTTCCAAAACACCTCTATGTTGTAGAAGAACAGAAATTGAAATACAATGTAACTGAAGACAGACTATAATTGTAGCCTATGGTGTTCCTTTGTGAAAATGTGGAAAAGGTGAGGTTTGTGAATGGATCAGCTCCTTTTAGGTAGGAAGTTCTGAAATCATAGTATGTTAAAGTCGCTATTTTTAAAGAAAGACTAATTTCCATTCTTCTAGTGCTAACATAGTGTTTTCAGGAGTTTGTAAAAAGAATTTAACTCTTCTTTCCATGCAAAACAAAAACAAAACATAAGCAAGTACCTGCTCAGAACAAGTGGCACAGCTACTGCCTCTGGACTAAGTCAGCCATCAAAACTACAGTGTAGATAGGGTAGATTATAGAAAGCATGGTCACAAAATGGTATATTCAGGGAAGCACAAGAAGTAAATGCAAGATGTAAGAATGGTGCATATGAAGATAATGAACCTGAGACCTGAACATCAAATAGAGTAGAACAAAGCTGAGAGTAGGGTGTGTGATACACCGTATATCAGTGAGAAGGGAATAGGGTAAGTGGGGGAAGAATAGATAATAAGAAAGATGAAATAGGGTACATTTTCAAATGTGGTTGGAACCTAAGATATTAAAACAGTCAAATGCTTTCAGTTGCTTTCATTCATGCAGAATATCATGTGAACCTTTGCAGGATGGGTTCTGTTTGTGCAGTTGTGAATAGCAAGGACAATAAGTTGTCTTTATATTGACTGTGATACACGTGTGTCTTTTTTGCTGCTTAAGTAATATAGTTGTACCATGTTTCAAGGGGGAATAATTTCTTCTGGTATCAATATAGCCTTTGACTTCATGTTTTAATGATATATTTTATAGTTTATATAACTTTTTTGATGGTTTTTGGGGAGGTTACTTATGGTTTTGTTGATTTGGTTTTGTCTTCCCATTTAGGCTAAAATTGCTAGATTGACAAAGCGGTTTGGAGCAGCCAGGGAGGACTTGAAGAAAAGACAAGAAGTAAGAACTAGATTTGTTTGTTTCTGACTTAGCTTTAACCTTGTGTTAAGAAATAAAGAAACTTTATATGCAGATAGCTGTGACCTCACAAAATAGGTTTGTCTTGTTTGATTAAAAGCAGTGATATGAAAGAATAACCTTTTAGCAGCTATTATGTGATTCTGATTTATACAGAAGCTTCTTTAGGCATTAACAGTGTGAAAGCACCTTAAGATGTATGTAATTAATTTACTTCAGTACCTTGATTTTGGGGGTAGAAGAGGTACGGTTTGTCCCACCATACAACCAATAGCATTTATCTATGTCTGGAATAAATATTTTAGGTTAATTACTGTGAAGTGGAAGCTTAGAAGTCCATTAATTTTCTGGCAGAAGTTTTTATTCTTATCCTAAAAATACCTGAAGGAAGAGACTTACAAAACAGGAGGATGTAGGAGAGGACCAAAGGGGTTTAGGGGGATTTAAAACAAGTCAAGTTCTCCTGTGGTGTTGGTTCCAGAAAATTTTTCTCTCTGGAATGGAAATGTAATGAAAATGTAAGTTTGCAGGCTGACTTACGGTTGTTTTGTTATGGCTTTCTTTCCCCTTCCTCACCTCCTTTCTCTCCCTTCCCCCTTCCTCCCCTCCTCCTCTCCACTCTTTTTTTTTGTTTCTTTTTTGTAGGCTTCACCAAATACACCTCTATCTTCAGCAAAATCAGCAAGTGATGCTGCAAACACAAGCAACATGACATATCGGTAAGCAAACCACATCACTGTGCCCATGTGAAAATTGCAGTAGGACACTTGAAATACCTAATGTAGTGGATAATCCTTGTATTTTCAGTTTGGTTTTTTGCTGGCTTTTTCTTTTTTGTCTTTTTTTAATTAGTGTTCCTTTTCCTTCATTGCTTCTCAGTTGTAAGTTTTCTTTCTCAGAAGGCATAAATGGACAATTTTGAATCCATTCTTACGTAAACAGAGATGAGGGTTGTTTTCAGCAGCTAAAATATAATGGGTAAAATGGAAGTTTAATTTCAAGGAAGGATCATAAGAATGATAAGGGGGCTAGAGCACCTACTGTATGAGGGCAGGCTGAGAAAGTTGGGGCTGTTCAGCCTGGAGAAGAGAAGCTGTGTGGAGGCCTCATAGCAGCCTTCCAGTATCTGAGGGGGGCCTACAGGGATGCTAGAGGGGGACTTCATCAGGGACAAGACAAGGGTGATGGGTTTACACTGGAACGGGGGAAGTTCAGGTTAGATATAAGGAAGAAGTTCTTTACTGTGGGGGTACTGAGACATAGGAACAGGTTGCCCAAAGAAGTGGTAAATGCTCTGTTCCTGGCAGTGTTCAAGGCCAGATTGGACAGAGCCTTGGGCAGCATGGTCTAGGGTGAGGCGTCCCTGCCCATGGCATTGTGGTCGGAACTAGATGATCTTAAGGTCCTTTCCAACGCTAACCATTCTATGATTCTATGAAGGGAAAATTCTCATGGTGAAAGGCAAACCTAGTGCAAGCACTTGAAAATTTACAAATAATTCTGCTTTTTTTTTTTTTCCCAGTAGTGGGATATTCAAAGTTAATTTGCATGGAAGCATAAAATAAATGGATTTAGAAAATCTTAATGGAAAGAATAGCAGTAAAAGAAGGGGTTTACACTGTACTGTTCATAATTATACCCAGTGTGGCTTGTCGAGAAATGCTAATTGAAACTTTGTTCCATAGAAATGCCAACACAGTGAGGCAGATGCTGGAGTCAAAGAGGAATACTGGAGAGAGCATACCAGCAACTTTTCAAGCCCCTGTGAATGCAGGTAAGAAACTGTCTATGGGCTACAAACACACTTCTCAAAAGTTTTGTTGCTTTCCACTAAGTAACTAACTGAACACAGCAAAACTGGGGTTTATGACTTCTTAGTTTCCAATATCAAAAATCATTATTTTAAGCTCCCTATGCCATTCCCAGTTCACATTCATGTAGTCTGCTTATGAAGTAAAGGATAAAATGTGTTGATTTGGCCAACCCGAACATGTGGGTAAATTACATGCTTCAGCAAACAGCAGTCTGGGTATGGCAGCAAAACTTGCAGTCTCTCAAGCGTTGAGAAGTGAAATGTGTGCTTCACGGGCCAGTATTTCGTACTTGATCATAGGATGCTGATCTTGCCCTCTGCCTAATGGCTACAGAAGTTGAATGGGGAACTAAAGGAAGTCATAAGCCCCATTTCTTGAGGTAATCAAGTTAAATTTAGTTTCTAATTAAAATTTTATAGGGAATGTAGAATCAAATCCACCATTAATTACATTCATTGTAATCCTTGGTTTGAAAAATAGTTTACCTAATATTGAATACTGAATCTTTTCCACAGAATCATCTCATAGTAGGCATATACTGACTTTCTGTATTGTATTGTGCTCCTGATCTTTAGATTTAATCCTGAAATTCTGTTGCACAAAAGTGAGTATCTTCTTTGATACGTTCTTGGTTTCAGGAGAACTTTCTGGATACAAGGTCCTTCCTATACAAAGTTAGTTACTCATAACTAACACGAGTGTTTAAAATGCTGTATTTCATGTGTTTTCAACAGTTCATTTTTTGAGCTTTCTTTGAGCCTGTTTGTGTCATAATTCTTTGTAGATCCTATTTTTTTGCCATTGTATGTAGTACTTTCAAACAGAAGCACAGCGTTGATTGTGCCTTTAACTAGACCATTGAGTATCAGAATGTGCAACAGAAAAAGAGTATCTATAGCATTTTTTGACAAAAAAGAAGTTAATAATATACCACATTTTTTATAGAATGGTTTGGGTTGGAAGTCACCTTTAAAGATCATCTAGTCCAACCCTTCTGCCATGGCCCAGGACATCTTTTTTTAGACTGGGCTGCTCAAAGCCCTGCCCAGCTTGACTTTAATGTTTACAATGATAGGGCATTCACAGCTTCTCCAGACAGCCTGTTCCAGTGACTCACCACACTAATCATAAGTCATTTCCATTTGCTGTGTTGGAGCGAAGTTTCCCACTTGGTTCAGATACTTAAATTTTGTTGTTTTTTGGTTTTCCTCTTCTTTGTGTAGTGCCAGCTTCCAGTCTTGCTGCTCCTCCAACACTTGTCAGTGGACATCCTAAGCCTCAGGCTCCAGTGACCTCCACCAGCAATTTGACGACAACAGTTCTTCCCACAGCCAACACAGCTACCGTTGTAGGCACTAACCAAGTGCCCAGTGGCAGCACTCAGTCAGTGTCTGTCTCGTTGCAGTCTTTGCCTGTAATCTTGCATGTACCTGTGGCAGTGTCATCCCAGCCTCAGCTCCTGCAAGGCCACACAGGAACTTTGGTCACTAACCAGCAGTCAGGCAATGTTGAGTTTATATCCGTACAAAGTTCTTCTACAGTTGGTGGCCTTACCAAAACTACAGTGTCTTTGGCATCAACTAACCCAACTAAACCAAATAACAGCCCGTCTGTGCCTAGTCCTAGTATTCAGAGGAACTCTGCAGCCAGTGCTGCGTCAATAGGCACAACGTTGGCAGTACAGGCTGTTTCTACTGCACATACTGTTGCCCAGGCCCCAAGGACTTTGCCCACAGTGGGTACTTCAGGACTTAATAATGCTACCAGCAGTCGAGCTCCCCTACAGATGAAGATTCCTCTCTCTGCATTTAGTAGTACAGCTCCTGCTGACACACCTTCCCTCCCCCCCCTGCCGTTACAGCACCCAGAGTTGGTAAGTCGTGTTTGAGTGTTGACACTAGGAAGAAAAAAAGGGAAACGCCAAACTGCACCCTGATGGAAATTTGTTTATTAGTGCATTTTACTGAGATACTGCTTCTGGGTTGCCTTTCTGTTGAAATTGTCAAGATCAAAATCATCATTATCTGTCATAAACGTGTTTCCAGCCATTTTTTAAATCAGTCTCTCCTTAGGAGGAGTCAGCAGTGTGGCTCTGTAAGCTTTGCTTTATTTAGAACTTTGTTTATATAATTTCTAGCATGCAGTCAGAAGCTCCTACCATTAACAACTTGATACTTGTTTTTAGTAGTCTCTCAAAATAATCTAAGCAAAGACGTACTGAAAGGAAAGTATAGTTTTCACAACACTTAAAAGCGAACAAAAACTGGGGGGGGGGGGGGGGGGGAGAAGAACACAACTGAATACTAACCTAGTCCCAAAGTATTACGTTTATTGGATTTAAGGTAAAGTCTCTGAACACAGTGTTCAAATTGTGTTCATATATACTGTTCAAATAACAGTATATAGATTAACTGTTTTAAAATACTTTGTCTCCATCTTCGGCCATGCACTGGTGATTCTCTGCTCTTCTGATTTTACATGCTGTGATTATTTTTTTTCTAAGAGGTCCTCAAGATTTGTGAGTTGGAATTATAGCAAGTTTCTCATTTGCACAATAGAACGTTAAAATTAACTCAAGTACAGCTTGACATCAGAACTAGTTTTATTTAATTTTCCCATCTCTAAATTACCTGTGTTAAAACATGTCTTCCACAGAGCTGGACAGTTATAGGCCTTATATTGATTTTTAGCTCTAAAGCTAATACAGTGATTTAACAGAGCGTAAAAAGGATTGTGACAGATGAGGCACAGTGACAAAAGGGCCTATGTGTCAAAAAACCATGTCTCATTTTATGCAGTTCAAATAGCCTTAATGTATACCCTAGTCGTTTTCTCACCAGAATTGAAACACTGGTTTGGGCTAGCACTATTGCTGATAAGCTCTGGTTAAAATGAAAAGGAATGAGAACAGAGAATTTGGATTTAAATGTTTATATAAAATATACAAGCAACTTCTGTTTAAATTGTTAGTTTAGATGTACGTTTGACTGAGCTAATGAAGGTGCTCAGTCTCCCTGCACAAATTGTCTCAGTTACATATTTTGCTGTCTGTTTAACCATCCGCTGTTCAGTCAGATTTTTTTGTACAAAAAATGTTGAATAATTGTAGTATTTTTCAGTTTAGTACCTTGTCAGTTTGCGTACAGAGGGAGGAGAGCTTGCAGTTATGCTTTGTCCTCAATAGGCAAGGGAATTGTTCACAAAATATTTTGGATACATTGTCAGACTTTCGAGAAAGGGAACAGACACTGCTTTTAGGCTGGAAAGTGCCATTTTGCTTTTCTATATCTTCTGTTCCATCTGAAAAATGGCAGTAATCAAGCTTGAATACTTACAATTGAAAATTGGAGCTGTAAAATGAGCCATATACTGGGTTTAGTATCAAATGATTTTGAATATTGCCTCCAAATTTGTCTAGTGGATAGCAGTATTTAGTACTGATTAGATACTGCAAATGAACAATTTCTTGACCCCTCAGAAAACCAGACAAGCAGGCCACCAACAGATACTTCGGCAAACAAGCGAACTGCTGAGGGAACACCACAGGTAGGTTGTTGATTGTTTCTATATAAAATTCTAAAGTTACAATCCACAGGAGAAAAGTTCTTTATCTTTATTGTTCCTAAGGAGACAATTTTAGTTTCTTTTTTTGTGCCATCCTTTCTAGTTTCTGTCCATTTGTATTCTTCTTCTGACCCAGAGTATTACTTGGAGCGTGTGCTTCTGATAATCTTCTCAGAAGTTTTTTGATGGGGTTTGTGTAAATAGGTGAGTTAGTAATTCAGGAGCACAATAAAAATTGTCTGATAAAACAAAGCAACCATACAAAAGAAAACCCTGCCCAGTTTTTGTCTGAATAGGTTGAACTTAAAGCTACAAATATTTTCTAAATTGCTTTAGCGGTCTCATTTCTATCCTAATCCAGAAGTTAATAAGAATTGGAGTTCTAGTATTTCATTGCCATATATAAAAAAAAATCCAGGGAAACTTTCTTCAGGAGTAACTATTTCATGACAAAGGATAACTTGCAGTACGTCTGGATTCCTCATCTAAAATTTGTTGAGCTTGCTTTAAAATTTGAAGGTTGAAGTTAAGCTATTTAAAATTATTCATAATTAATTTTTTTCCCGTGTACAGATACTTTGCAAAGTACCTCATACTTACATTGTTGGTAACTGGAAGTCATTTTGTCTAGCGAAAATTTCCACATTTAATAGTGTTTCAAGGTAGAGGTAAATCTGAATTGTATTTCAAAGCAAGAAGAAAATATACTGGACAAGACTGTTCTTCTCCTCTTGCAGAAATAGTCTGGCAAAGACAAACAGTATTACAGAGTATAAACTGTGCCTCGCTCTATGTTTTTATTAAGGCATTTCATAATGAATGGTTGTTTGGAACTTCATTTTTTCAAAGATACCTGTGGATTATAGCTATTAAAACATTTGTCGGTACTTGAGATGTAGGAAATTCAATACCAGAATGGACGACAGATGTATGGTTTTAAGACTTAATTTTCAGTATAACCTACATATTTTGGAAATCTTCTTCGTTGGTAGAGTCTGAAACCCGGAAAAGATTTTGGAAAAACAGATTGTGTGTGATAGTGGTATTTAGCAATGGAAAGTGAGCAAGGAGGAGAGAAATAAGACACATGATGCTTTCCGGCTTTCAGTCTTCTGTTATAGCATATGTTTCTAGGCTTCCTTTCAGTCAAATCAGATAAAGCATATGTAATGCCATGGTTAATAAAGAAGGGCCTGATGCATTTTAATTGGCTAGTGAGGTATGGAATTGATATGCCATATCGTTTGAAAAATCCAGTTAGTGCCACCTGCTTTTTGTTATGTAAAATGCAAAATATTATGTATTACTCCGCACTTCACGGCTCTCAGATCAAAAAGTAGTTCGCTGTGTGCCGTATACCTGTGGCATATTTGATGGTACAACTTTGATCAATTGTTTCAAAAAGCAGTTGAAACAGGAGGAGACTTCATCAGAAAATAAAGAAGGAGTAGAAGCAGCACAGACGAATTTTAACTTCCCCGAGGATGTCCTCTTTGGCTTGGAGGAAGAGGAAGAGGATGCTAAGAGCATCAAAAACACCCACAAGCAGACTGGCTGGGCAGCTAACCTATTAAAACAATGGCTGGCCAAAAAAGGCAAGGATCCTAGCTTTGAATTGGTCCCAGTGAGTGAACTCAATGATATCTTAAGAGAGTTTTATTACACAATAAGGAATCATGATGGAAATATCTACAGTGTGGCAAGCTACAAGTCAATGCGTGCTGGTTTAAACCGGCATCTCAAAATGTCACCTTATAATCGTCAGATTTGCTTAATGAAGGACAAAGAGTTTGCTAGTGCAAACATGGTATTTCTGAGTGTGCTGAAGATGCTGCGCATGCAGGGAAAGGATGAGACTCACCACCATCCTCCTATAGCTGCTGAGGACTTGCGTAAGATTAAGCAATCTGGTGTGCTGGGATTGCACAGTCCACTGGCACTCGTCAACAAGGTGTGGTTTGATTTGCAGTTGCATTTTGCCAAACGAGGGAGGGAAATTTTAAGAGATCTGGTTCCAGATGCTTTTGTTATTGAGAAGGACAAGAACGGGCGTCGATATGCTATGCTTAGGTATCCTGGCAAAGGAAAAAATGGAGATGATCCTCATAAAATGGGTAAAATGTATGATGTGCCAGGGGACCCAAACTGTCCTGTTTTTTCATTGGAGCTTTATTTGTCTAAGTTGCCTCCAGAGCCCCCTGCCTTTTACCTGCATCCTTTAAAGTTAACATCAGAGCAAATGCAAGAACAGCCTGTCTGGTACAAAAGAGAACCAATGGGTGTGAACTACTTAGGTACCATGATGCCCAGGATAAGTGTGGCAGCCAGGCTTTCTCAACGATACACCAACCATTCTCTCCGAACTACCACCATCCAGCTACTGCGTGAAGCAGGACTGGGGCCTAGAGAAATAATGGCAGTGACAGGCCATCGCTCTGAGTCTGCTATTAGACACTACTGGGGAGCTGCAGAAGTTCGCAACAGGGCTTGGTCAGATGTAATGGAGAATAATGGTCCCAATTACCTGTGTAGCAAGATCCCAAATGAAGTGATAAAAGAATCACTGTCTGGTGCCTCCACCTCTTCTATAAACCATGTTGTTCTAGAACAGAGCAAAATTCTATTCCCTAAGAAATCTGTGCTGCGATCTGGCACCACCTCTGTGACTTTAGTCCCTGAGGTCCACCCAGCTCTGAATTCAAAAAGCCCCATCCTGTTGAACCACAGTTCTTCCAAAGTGTTTCTCTCCAAGAACACAGCCAGTGTGAACCTAACTGCCAGTCCCCTTCAAGGCTGTTGTAACAAACCTGCCTTTAAAAAGCGTGTGATAAAACAAAAACCAATGACTTGATGCTTTTGTAATGGAACTGATTTCAAGTGAATAGCTAAAATGGAAAAATTACTGGATATGTTTTTTCACTTGATCTACTAAGGAAATTTCTTACAGTCTAGTTTAGCAAGAAGTATCCTGTTCGCACTCCTGAAGTGAGCTATGGAACGGAAACTTAAACAGAGCAGGGCTTGGAGTTTGTATGACTTTGTGGCAGCTGGGACTCTTTAAGTGGCTAGGCAGAGCTATTTAAAAAGAAAAAGAAAATGAAAGGGAGATACTGATTTCCACTTAGCTGAAGAGCTATGCTTTCTTCACTGAGTGCATGGTTTTTATATTTTGCGAAGAGTGTATTTATTATACCATTTGGTGCCTGCTGGCACCGACGTAGCATCTTACAAATCAAATACTTGATTACTGAAGAGCATGGAGAAAGTAGAAGCTGAATGAAATAGACAGAGATACACTACAAATGTATACATATGCATGAAACCACCTGGAATTGCTTGACCACTGTCACCCTCTCTGTTCGAGTTGTTATTGGACCTACCAGAGGATTGTGCTGGGTTTGGTTTTTTTTTTCTTTTGGTGGTGGTGGGTTTTTTGGGTTTTTTTTAAGTTCTTCTGAATTGATTTTCTCTGTGAGCTACCGATTTGTATTGCAGGTCTTTCCTTCTCCTGTTTACTATTTCTGGCTAAGATTGCAGTCATTCTGTCCTCCAAAGGCAGTACTTGATACAAATTGTATTAAAATTGGGATCACTTGAGTTGTGCATGAACTGGCGAAAATGTTCTCAAAAGAGCTGAGAACAGGCTTGTTGCTTAAATGGCAAGTAATTAGAGTTGGAGTGTTGTCTCTGTATATGCTTATCTTGTGAGAGTTTTTTTGCATTTCCTCTCCCCCCTTCCATTACATTTCACTTTGTCTTTGCAGTATGGTCTTTGTCAATATAGTACATAATTAACAAAAGGACATCCTATTCTTCCCCACTGAACCCTACCCAAATATTGTTACTTTGTTTTAACTTCTTTAGATTAGTTCCCTATAATAAGCTGATGCTATCAGTACATTTTCCATAGGTGAATTTTACAGGTTAGAAATTCTCTAGTATAGTGGATATGAATTCTGTCAGAGAAATGAAATTGTAGTTCAAAGGCTTTTTAATGAAAAACAGAAATTAAAAACTAGGCTAGTCATAATTCACTCTTAATGAGAGAATCTAATTCATGGTTTGTCTCTACTATTCTGTGTGTCCATATCATTGCAGAGGGATTGGACTAGATGACCTTTGAAGGTCCCTTCCAACCTGAACTACTCTGTGATTCTATGCCATTATTTTTGTCAAAGATACTGACAAATCAAGAGATCTTTGAAATGGAAAACTGGTCATCAAATCACAAATTACAGTAGGTCCACTTTGGAATAAGAAACAGTATAATATTTAAAATGGTTTTCCATTATGTTAACTAAAAGAAATAAGAATGGCTTCATCCTTTTGAAATTCTATATATGTGTGTGTACACATACGCACCCACACACGTGCTGTGTAACACTGAGGACTTCACTGGAAGTGTCTATGTTACTCAGCTGTGGACAAAGCAGAGAAAAATCCCAACTGAAATAACAAATTGATCGTGATGAACTCTTAATTCTGTGGAGAACTTCCTTGCTGGGAAAGGCTTTCAAATATTGAATGAGATTTATCACTTTGTTATAGCCTGAACAGAGGACTTGATGCTTGACCTTTGGAGTTTTTGTCTTGGCTGATGATGTTTACCTTTGTGGCCTTGGGTAGGTTATTCGTACTTAATGCATCAGTTTTCCAAAGTGTAAGACCAGTTCTGAGTGTTCCATTTTCTGATGGATCACGTTAAAGATTAAAAGGTTTTGAAAGTGCCATCTATTCATCTTACGTATTGTGTTCACAGTCACATTTGGTGGTGTTATAATGATTGAGCTAGTTGATTAGATATAATTGTTAATATAAAAATTAACTCTACAGAATCCTACACTTCTTTAGTTGCAGCATAAACTTACAACATCAATGAGTAGAGGAAGGAAATCATGGATCCAGGATTATAATTTTGTCAAGTCTGGAGTAAATCAAATTGAAATAATAAAGTTATCATTTCTAATGGCTAGAAAGAAGAA